TAAACTTATCACTACTATTCCAAATTGCTCATTCTTTAAAAAAACTTGGTTTTCAACTGTTTTTAAAAGAAATACCACAATTTCTCAAAGTTGATAAAAAAAAGATTGATAATCTACAAGTCTCAAATAATAAAATTCAGTTAGTATAACATAAAAAAGCGTTTCAAAGGTGTATTTTTTTAAGTTGATCATTTATTTGTATAACACACTTGCTTAATACCAGCCAAAAATTATTAAACAATGAACTTTTTGTCAACTAATACCATTTAAAAATATGTTATGTAACTTAATTTAAATTGTTAAATAATATATTTTGTAAAATAATGCATATAAAACCAATACATATACTAAAATATTTATCACATGATACATGATTATAAATAGTTTATTTTGTAATTATTTGAATATAAAATTTTCTTTTATACTGGTAATAGTGATTAATATATATTGGTAATTATAAAAAGTATATTTTAACTTTATAATTTCAGGATATTAAAATTAAGTAATAATAAACAGAATGTGATTATATATAGGTGATTATAAACAGGTCTGACTGTATTTGAAAATATATTATCATAAGAAGAAGTTAAATATCTTAGAAAAATCTACTTTAGAAAAATCTGCTTTAGGAAGTTTTTAACTTCTAAAGCCAGAAGAAAAATAGCAAATTTCTATTTTTAAAATGGAAGGAACATTTTTCAAATGGTCTGCCTTAGATGCTTTAGGTAGTTTAGAAAATTTAAGACTTCTTTACTTTTTATTTTTATTTTTTATCTATAGGTATATTAGTATATACTATATATATATCATTTACATATATAATATATATTCCATATATAAAAAAATTTCGATTTTTATTTCTAGAACTTTATTTTTACTAGAATACCTAAAGAACCTAGAAAAGATAATATAAGAATAAGTTAAATCGAGAAAAGAACACTTTTTCCTATAATAAAATCTGCATTAGAAAGTGGTCTAGTAAAATTTCTACCTTAGAGTACTCAAAAAATAGCCAAATAATCTACCAATTCTACGACAGTTTTATGACACTACCACAGCACTATTATGGAGCTGAATTCTCAAATCATATATCTTAAAAATCAGTTGAAATTATGATATAGTGTCAGCCAAAAATAATCACAAATTTACTGCACTACCTTATCACCTTTTTTACACTACTTTGATTCAGCTAGAAAGTGGTATTTGATACTCTTTTACAACTTTATGATAATATATATATGTATCGTCTAAAGTTGTTTCTATTTCAGAGTATTATATTAAATATGAAGCCTCTTTTCAGCTTTTTTTTTGCCTATCGCAAAATGTCTTACTAAGCAAAATTTTTTATTTCTTTTTCTTATAATAATTCTGCTTTGATGGATCACTAATTTTTTAACAGATTAACAAAAGAAACGAAAATAAACATATTCTTAATAGATAACATTTAGGGGATAAATGAGTCAGCTACAATAATACATATTACATCTCTAACCTCAGATACAAAATTAGCCTGAATTATGTCATAGTGCTAGCTAAATTTAAACACAGATTTATATTGAATTACTGTGCTATCAGACACAAATTTTTTATCACAATTTGGCATTTTAATAGGCAATCAAATAAGCGTAAAGGGTAAACATCTCAATATAGAATCCAGTATCCAATTAGGTGCAGAAGGTCAGCATCTCAATATAAAATTAGGTATCTAAACAACTACAAAAAATCAACAATTCCATTATAGAATTTAGTATGTAAATAATTCAGAAATAAGAAGAGAAGCGTAGTATTTAGATTATATGTTTGTGAGAATTAGATTATATTGTGATAATAAAAATATATTAACATAAAAAATACGAATATCAAGAAAAACTTAAAGACATAGTTAGAACACAAAAAAGATATAAAAAATAATAAAAGTGTTAAATTATATATAGTATTTAGATCATAATATTTAGATTATATGTGGTAATTAGATTACATTATTTAGATTATATGTGGTAATTAGATTACATTATTTAGATTATATGTGATATTTAGATTATATATAATACTATAATCTAAGGTAAGTGGAGTATCACATGTAATATAATTATATTATATGTAGTATTCCACTTACCTTCTAATTAGATTTTATAAGAATTTATTTTTCAAAAAAAAATATTTTAAAATTTTAAGTAGCATTTATTATATATTATTAAATAAAAACTTTTAATTTAATGATTAGATTTTAATAGAAATATTACTATTAAAATTATCTTAATAAGAGCTTTGTAATAATATAAGCTTGAACTTATTGAACTAATAATTAATAAATATTTCAAAAAAATGATTCTATAAATCAATATTAAATGAAATTGTAATTTTTTAATCATAATTTGACAATTAACTGGTTAAAACTATGAAAATAATAAAATTGATAATAATGTTATTAATAAAATTAATTAAATTAAATATATTAATATAATTAAAAATATTTATTTAGTTAAATTTATTAATTAAGTTAACAATATTTGCAAAATTTCTATAGTTTATTAAATTTTATTTTATCTTTAATTATTAAATCAAAAATTTTGTATAAATAAAAGAAATTTTATATAATCTTAACAGTTAATCAATTAGATTTTAAGTTAATTTTAAATAATTAATTTTAAGTTAGTTAAAATTAATTAATTATTTATTAAATTTATAATTTTATAAGTTTGTGAACTAAAGCTTATTAGAATTTATTAAATGATATATATCTGATTTTTTATTTAATAAATTAACTTTTATTCTATAATTTTAATAGTTAAACTTGTGATATAAAATCTAATATATTATTATTACTCTGATTATATTAATTTATATTAATAATTTTATTATTATAAATAAAATTCTAAAATTATTATATTTTCATTAATCTCAAAAATTTAAGATTTTTCTATATATATTAAAGTTTATTTTTTAGTTAATAACTTCACAATCAACTCATATAATAATCTATATTAGTAAAAAACATGTTAATACTTAATGTTTTATTAAGTTATCCTTCAACTTTTACAAGATACTTTTTAAATTTTATATAACTTTTGTTTTTTCTTTAAATATTAAGTATTTAAAAAAATTAGATATTATTTAATTATATTTTCTTTTAATAATACTAAAAGTTAAAATTTAAACTTTATTATAAATTTTTATATAAAATTGATTTTTAAAAATAATTTATACTTACTATTTTAAGTATAATAAAAATATTATTTATTATTATATATATAAATTTTTAATAATAATGATTAGTAATTAGTAAATTTATAATTTATTTTAATATATTAAAGTTACAATATTTCAAATTATTCTTTATAATAAATTTAAAAAGCTTATTAATTTTTTATCTGAATATATTAATATTTATTATATTTATTTAAAAAAAAAGTTAAAATTAATAAGTTATTTATATTATACTATTTTATTATAATTAATATATAATAAAATTAATTTTAAACTATATAAAATCTATTAAATTTTTTTATTTAATTATAATTTATAAAAATATTAATTAAAAATAAAGTATTTTTAAAATATTAAAACATATTTATGTATTATTATATAAATAATTTATATAAAAAAATATTAAATTATCTTTAAATAACAAACTTTATTTAATTTAAATTATTAATTTTAATATATATATTATTAAATATTTTTAATTAAATCTAATAATTTATAGTAGGATAGTGTCTGTGTTTTATTTTTATAATTTTTTATTAGTTAATTAATACAAAAATTTATATTTAATAATAACAAAATAGTAATTTATATGATTTTAATAAAAAAATAAACTTAGTTTTTTATTATAAATTAGTATATATTAATAGGTTTAGTTATAAGATTAAAGGTATAATTTTGAATATAGTTTTTAAGATTAACTTTTCAGTTACAGATTTTAAGGTAGAATAATAAATATGATAAAGTTAAAAGTATTATATTATATAATGATATATTAGATTAGATATATATAAGTTGAAATAATATGAGTATCTACATTTCCTATTTACTTTATATAACTTATAATTTTATTTTTATTTGTATTATTTCTCTCTTATAATATACATATTTATTATATTTTAAAAGAAATTCTTTATATTTATTCTCTTAAAACTACTTATATAATATATTAGCTAAAATATATATATTTATAAAAATTTTTTTATTTATATAAAGATTGATTTTTAAAATTAGATTTTAAGTATTCTTATACTTAAAAGATTAAAATTTAGTATTAAAATTAGGCTTTAATGTTAAATTTTTAATTATATATATTTAAAGGTTAATATTTAATAATGAATCAACTTAAATAGTTTATGTATAATAAAATTTTTGATATATTAGAAATATATCAATAAATTTTAAAATAATAGCTTATTATACTTTAAAAATTATAATTATAATTATATAAAAATTTTATTAACATCAAAATAAAATTAATCAAAATTCACAAAAAAATTGTGCCTAGATACTTTCTTTAGAATAGTATTAAAGTAAATCAATTTAATTTTGTTTTCTTGTTTTTCTTTTTCTTACCGATTAACAGCATTGCTAGCTTTGATCGCTTTATCGCTCTTATTACTGAAATCTTAAATATGAAAAGATTTAAATTTAAGATCATCTTACCATTTTAATCTAATAACATCAAAAAAACTAAGTTGCAATTTTGTTAACCTAGCAATTTTTCTCATGTATCAGATTTTACACCTGATTGATTATGTCATATCAAAATATGTTCTAAGAAGGACGTCATAACACATTGTCGTTTACATTTTATCATAATTTCTAAATAAGTTTAGAACCATTTATGCGACAAAAAAAAAAAATTAAACTTTTTTTTTTTGTGATCAACATTTAAATGAGGCATAGCGGCGAAAATGTGTTTGTATTCAGATCTTTAAAACGTATATGCGAAAAGAATTGAAAAAAAAAAACGATTGCATCGAAACGAAAAAAGAAAAAAAAAAAAATGGGTAATGAAGAATGAGATTACGCCAAATCTATATAAGGTTTTGAGAAGGTACATTCAATTGGATAAGACGGAAGGATACACAAGGGTCAAACAAAGAATATGTATCGTGATGAAAGTGGATGTTTATGTTTTTGGAGGTAACTTTTGTTTCGTCCAGATGCGGTAAATTGACAAATTGGTAAGACCCAGTTCACATGTAATGTGTTTTAAAAATGACGCAAATGAATAATTTTAATTAAAGAAAGAAAAAAATATATCTTGGCAGCAATCTTTTTTCCTTCCTCTCTCGAGATCCAACCTTAATTAAACTCATTATTATAATAACAGTTTTGGTAATCGCACTTCAAACAAATTCAGGGTCATTCAAATCTCGCATATTGTCTCGGTATGAAGTAGATTTGTTTATTTTCTATGAAGAACTCTATTTAAGAATGTAGGAAGTTTCCATTATTCATAATCAGTTGTGTGTCATTTGTTGAATTATCATCTAATAATAGTTTGTATCTCGTCAATTTCCTCTTTTTAGACTTTGTAATTTTTTAAGGGAATTTCTAACGCAATTGAGATCATCAAAATTCCTTGGTTGAACACAATATTCAATTCCTGAGGGTTTAAAACAGAGATCCCGTTGTACATGGAATTTGTGGTGTTACGTGACACGACCTCTATAAATTTCTAATTTAAACTAACAAAGTTTAGAGAAATAGAAAAAATAAAAACGTCGGAATTTCGGAGGTTTTCCTCTGATTCAAATAAAAAAAAAAAAAAAAAAATACCATTCCATAAAAAAAAGTAATAAAATTTAATTTTTTTTTTTTTTTCGCAGGACGAGAAAAAAAAATTATTTTGGGAATTCCTATATATAAACTGTTCAATTCTTTTTTTTTTTTACTTTATTTTTTTTTTCTTTAGTTGAATCCACCCTTTTCTTAAATTAAATTCTCCCTTTTTTATTTAAAAAAAAAAAAAAAATAAATTAAAATAAAATAAATTAAAATTATATACGCACAATATGTCAACAACTTTACGAGCCTTCCAACACGAAGTATCAGATTCATCATTTACAACAATGACACATTCAGCGTCTTCCACTGAAACGATTCCGCAAACATATTCCCCAATGATGGCTCATCAATTAAGCAATGCTATACCGCAAAAATTAAAATTTGATAAATTAAAAACAAGCTTAGAATTAAAATTGGTCGAACCGGTAATTTTCTTTCGTGGTAAACCTGAAGAAGCTGTTGGATGTATGTTGAGAGGGGATTTGATTTTAAATTTAGCAAGGGATACGAATGTAAGAAAATTAGAAATGAAATTTATTGGTAAAACCAACACTCGTTGGAATGATGGTAAGTTAAGAATTACAAAGCATGATGGTTAAATTCATTCCACCCCCCAAGATTATTAATAACGTTTATGTGATTATTATTAGATAAAAAAACCGTTTCCGAAGAGCGAGAGATCATTTCTCACACATGGAATTTTATTGAATCTTCAAAGAAATCAAGAGAAATCAATACTAACGTAATAAATCCATCTCGATCTCGATTCAAATTACTCGTTCGTAAACTATCATCATCATCGTCGTCGTCATTTGTATCATCATCCTCATTATCATCATCCAGTAAATTGTCGTCCGGAACGCACACCTATCCGTTCAATTTGATTCTACCCGGTAATTTACCAGAGACGACAAACGCGGAATTAGGGAAGGTGCAATATTATCTAACGGCCAAAGCTTACAGGTCAAGATTATCATCCAAGATTCGATTACAACAGCAAGTTGAAATTTTACGTACGCTTCCTGATCACATCAATTCTCAAGGGATTGGATTTGCAAGGGAATTTAATGATATGTTATCTTATGAGGTTAACATTCCAAAGAAGGCTTATCCATTAGGGCAACAAATTCCAATCGAGATGAAAATTTGTCCGCATGTGAAAAATTTAAAAGTTACGGGGGTGGACGTACAATTATTTGAAAAAACAACTTATACATCATGTGGTCAAAAGATTACGGATTCTCGCATAGCCACATTTCAATCTTTAGATTCATTTGGAGAGAATCGATTAATTGAAGATGAAGAAGAAGGGGATATTGGAAATATTGTGTATCAACAAATAATGAATTTAAATTTGCCAATTTGTTCACGACCTGTTCATTATTCTTGCGCTACGCCGTTGATCAGCGTAGCTCATGACTTGAAATTTAGTTTTCAAATTTCTTTACCACATAAAAAAGCGGAATTAAAAATAAGTGTACCTATAACTATATTATCTTGTAAAGCTATAAATGATTATATTACTTTACCAAGTTATGAAGATGATAGTTTTTATTGCCCTTGTCATCCAGAATATTTAAGGATGGCAAAACTAATTTTGGGGGAGAACGAAGGAAGTAGAACTTACGAGAACAACTGTCACGATGGAAGACATAATCTTTTAAATGTGCAAAGGAATCATTATCACAGAGCTCCTCCAAGTTATGAAGATTCTGTTTCTGAACAATAATTATAAAAGAAAAAAAAACAGAATATTTGAAATTCTAAACTAATCTGCATAATTCCATAGACAATCATCAATCCATTTTCATAATTCAAAAAACATATATATCATTTTCATACCCTTTTTCCTTTTTTTTTTTTTCGTCTTTAATAGCTTTACATAGATAATAAGAAATCAATATTATATATATATTATAAAATCATTCCTTCGGGAAATGTGACCTCCAAGAGGTTGTGGTTGCTACCTGTAAAAATGAGTAATACGTAGCGTCGATATTGTACATAGAATTATTTTATGAGTGGCTATAACGAGATTATTATTTTAAAAACAAAAATTTATAATAAATTGAAACCAATAAAGGCCAGTTCCGAGAGAAATAGAATGATAAATAGGCTCTAACTTTTTGTTTTCTTATTATTCCAATTGCTTAAACCATAAATGGGATCATTACTGATAAATAATGAACAATAGTTCTGTAGTTACCATTCAAAAAAAGAAATCCTTGTAACATCAAATTAGAATTTTTTTTTTCCTAAACCTCCAATCAAAAGAAAGAAAATGTCATATTCACAGGGAACAATATTCCGAATCTTTTTAATCCTTATCAATTACTTATTGCCCAACCTGTATTTCAACGGGATATAACCCATCTCATTCTTATTTCAACGGGGCCCCACTTCATTCTCGTTTCATTCTTGTTTCATGTGCTGATTGCAGAGCTCGTGATCAACCCATATACTAATCGTGTTGTATATAATGTAGTTTAAATAACAATAATAAAAATTCTTATTTTAAATTTTTAAGTTATATTGTATATTGCGAAATGAAAAACATTGATATGCTTGCTTTTCTTCCGTTTTAATAAACCACAAAATTCGTATTACTTGAGCTTAATATGGTTATGTATAGTTTAAAGTTTAAAATCAAATATAGTTTTAAGAAACACAGTTCTACTGTCAACCTCTCATTCCCTAACGACATTGACGAACCGAACGACCTTGATACTAATGATAAAAAG